AGCCCCTGTCAGCTCAGAGATGATTTGTTATGGATGATCTGTCCGTGGCTGTCCCAGCTTATGCCTCTGTGCCACCTCTTCAAATAAATGAGAAGATGCTTTGCCTCGCCGCGAGCGCCGCGCTCCTGCTGAGCTCCCCCAGCCGCTCTGTCCTCAGCACACTGCTGTGACCCTCTGCCTGTGCAGCGAGGGCTGTGCGGCAGCGGTCGTCATCACGTCACTGGTTAGCTGTGACAAAAGTAGTTTTCTGACAGGAGGAGACAGTCAAGCCATGGTGGCCTGGGGCGAGGCAGGGGTTATCCTCTTCCAGAATTAAGGTTGCAGTGAAGGCCGGGTGGACCAAAGTCCTGAGGCTTCTGTGGGACTCATCAGAGTTTCTACTCATGCAATTTGGGGATAGTCACTGACAACACTTGTATGTAGCGAGACAGAGGTGTACTTGCAGATGTATAACAGCAGCACAGACTCTTATCTCGGGAGAGTTGGTGTGGATGTGTGTTTGTTTCAGTGCCATCTGATGTGTCAGTCCTCAGCTCCACTTTTCAGCCAGCAGCCACCACTACTGCCTTTCTCCAGCTCAAAACAGTTTTGAAGGAGAAAGTATTTGCTAAGCAGCTGGAATTCTGCTTGTTTGTGGATTTTGTTCCTGTCGTGGTTTGAGCTCAGAGGGCAACTGAGCACCATGCAGCTTCTCATTCCTCCCTTCCCTCCCAGTGATGAGAAGGGACAAATAAGCCAGGCTTGGGATTTGAGGTAGGACCAGGAGGGGCAAATCACCCATTATCTTTATGGGCAAAAGGCAAACTCGTTAGGGGAAGAAAAAAAAAAGAACATAGATTTATTACAGACACTAACAACAGCACTTAACAGAGTAGGACAGTGAGAAGCATTGCCACATATTGAGAACACCTTCCCCCCACCCCTCCCTTCTTCCTGGGCTCAGCTCTGCTCCTGATATCTCTACCTCCTCCTCCCAGTGGCGCAGGGGCAGGGAATGGGGGGTGCAGTCAGTGCTGCTGCTTCTTCTCTCTTCGGTGGGGGGAGCTTCTGGAACTTCTTCCCCCTGCTCCAGTGTGGTCCCCCTCTCACAGGAGACAGTCCTCCACAAACTTTCTCTGATGTGAGTCCCTCCCATGGGCCACAGCATTTCCCTACACTGCTCCAGTGTGGGACACAAACTTTCTCCAACTGGAGTCCCTCCCACGGGCTGCAGCCCTTCCTGAGCTACTCTGGTGTGGGACACCCCCACACGCTGCAATCCTCCCAGCACTGAACTACAACAGTGGAGGCTACTTTTTCCCACAAGGTCCCAGGCTTCTTTGGGCACAGTTGCCTTCATCATCCATGAGAGGCCCCTCCCAGGCCATAAATCAATGTCCGCTCCACCGTAGATCTCCATGGGTGGCAGGGGGGGGCCACCCTGCCATCTCACCACAGGATACAGAGGGGTCTCTGCTCCGTCACACCTCCCCCCTCCTTTCTTCCTCCGTTCCTTCACTGACCTTGGTGTTCACGCAGCTGTTACAACTCCTCCTCACAAGTCTGACTCCTCCTCACCACGTCCCTTCTTAAATACGTTACTGCAGATGTGCAGCTGATTGGCTCGGCCTTGGCCAGAGGTGGGTCTGACTTGGAGGGGGAGCTTTGAGAAGCTCCTCACAGGGGACCAACCCTGTAGCCCCCTCACCTGCTACCAAAGAAAAAACCCCACCACTCACTCAAACCCAGGACAGTTCCTGGGACTTGAGTTGGCAGTATTTATTCCTTGAACGTCTCAGCACCAGCTGCTATTACTTCTGAAAGAGCCCAGAGTAATAATCCTGGTGTTTTTAAGTGGATTGACAAGCTTTGTATTTAGCTAATATCACAATTAAATATGTGTGGCTGGTGCTGTAAAAGGCTAACTATACATATGGAGAGAAGCAAGAAGAAAAAATATGGGGTGGTACACAGGACTTCTGTTAAGCTCCACCCTCAAAATAAACTATGTCCATGTGATGTGGTATGATGAGCACATTGAACAGATGTTGAGTTTGATTGCATTTTAGTCTTAGACTTCTGGGGCTTTTCTCTCCCTCATGAAGTCCAGAAGCATTCAGGGGATAATTGAGTTCTAGATGCTTAAATTCTAACTAAGATTTATAGGAGTCTCAGTATTCCTTCAAATTGGTTTGTTCTTAGATGCAGTTTGATGCTGCCTTTCTTTTACTATGTGCTGTGAAATGCAGCAAAACAAGGTTGACATAGAAGGTGCTGTGCTTAGATGGATGAGTTAGGGTGCCCTGAAGCAAACAAGGCATGTCATACCCTGGTGCAGAGTCCCAGTACAAGCAATTTGTTGGTTGCTCTCACGCTTTGTTTGCAAAGCTCTCTGTGAAACCCTGACCTCGCTTTGCTTTTACTGAAGTCATGCTTCCTGCAGAACCAAACGCTTTTCCGTGCCAACCCAATCTGTGCCGTGACTGCACTGGACAGGAAAGAAGGACAACCGCTAAAGGTAGGTCTGTTAGCATCTGCAGGGCTAGGGGCAAGTGAGCAGCTAACTGAAATGTTTCACTGATTAGGTTTTAACAATAGAAAACAGATTAGCAGTGTTAATAAAAGTGCCCACTTAATATTAAAAGTCTGGTTTAATGTTTTTCTCATTTCTTTGAAGAAAATATTTGGATGGAAGCTATTTTTTTTTTCTCCTTAAAAATGTTACTTATGAATCACTACTGTGCAGCAAGGGCAGCACTTTTTTAAAAAGCATCTGGCCAGACTGATAACTACAGTATCATTTTCTCAAAGTCACTTTTGGGTGGCTGAGCTCCACAGGCCACCAATATTCTTAGCCCGTGGGTGTTTTCTCAGCTGCACAGGGCACGGCCAGTGAAGCTCTGCATGCTTTCTGTGTCTGGCCATTTCCCCGGCAGAGGAGGCCGTGCACCAAAAGCATTTGATATGCACACTGGTACATGCATACAACACCATGTATTGCTTGTTTTATCGACATGTTGAAGTGTTTTGGAGACTCAGAATGAATTCTTGACCTTCTTAGAATCTTTGAGTGTTTAATACAGACCATAGTAAGAATATGCAGTTACTAGCTTGTATCTTCACCCAAACTTCACTATTCGGAGGCCTAGTAATTTTAGTCCTGTAATGTCTGGTAATTGTTAGTTGAAACACTGTCTGGTTTTATTGACAACAGAAGTTGGTGGGTTAATATCTGGTCAGTGCTAACACTTTCTCTGTGTGAGGAACCCGCAGGCCTGACTGCCAGCCTTCCACAGCCGGTGTGATGTCCTCCCGTGGCACTGGGGGTGTAGGAGACAGACACCATTTGAAGCTGGTCTGGATAATGTTCAGCACAACAGGGAGGAAACTAGATTGCATGTCTGGAATGGTGCTGCCTTGGGACCTCAAGCAAACCCTATGGGTTTTTTCTGTTTTGGGGGCTTTTTTGTAGTTTTGCTTTTTTTTTTTAAAAAAAAAATAATTTCACTAGAGGTCACTTAGTTGTAAGTAATTAAATGGTGATCAGTTATAAATCTTTGAGCCCATTTTTTATTACTTTGCTACACTAATTCCCAGCAGTGAATGCGTTTTTATTCAACTGAAGCCTTAAATGTTTTATTTCCTTCTTTTTGTAAACATTTAAGGATCCCATTGGTAATTCCTACCTCCGAGCCTGAGAGTTGGAAGCAGCACATTCATCACACATAACTAAGGATTGTAATTCTTGCTTTGAGGGAAAACAGGGCTAAATCTTAATCACAAATGATACATTTAACCTGAAATAAACACTTCCAGGCAAATCCTACATGACTACATCAGCCACATGTGGTGTGAGGAGCAGGGTGTTGGTGAGTTATAGCACACGGACAGTCACGGAAGTGTGAAGGATCTGCTCAGCCTGTCCTGAGGCTTCAAAGTAGCTGTTCAGAAGATGGTCAAGCTCTACCCTAATGCTGGCTGGGCGCTTCCCTCCTCTTTGGAGACCGCTCCAGAGCTACAGTCCTGTGGTTGTTAGGAACCTTCCAGTTTCCAGCCTACATGTGCATGGGATTTTTATCCTGCTGCTACATCTTCTCAGGCTTGGAAGTATTCAGAGTTAGAAAACAGAAATTCTCAGTCAAGTATGATGCTTCCTCTCTCTTTCTCCCACCTGCCAGGGGAGACGTATTGTCCCTCTCTCACTGCACCACCGGGAATAACCTCTTGTCACCACATGCTGATAAGATGTTGAAGTGGGCTTCTAAGTAAAACGGCACGTTCTAGTCTTAGTATGTGATAAAATACAGACAAAGGGCAAGGCTGGAAAATAATGCAGCCCAACTTCCCACACATGAATGGGGAAGATATTTACATGGGAGGGGTGGTATAGCAGACTTCTCTATACACTCTAGAAACAATTCTGACATATCAATAATAATGTATTTTCACATTTAATATGGATACCATCATTGCCATTAATTCACACAAACTATTAAGGTTTGAATTGATAAAATTCTTTAAACCAGAGTTTAAATGTGAATTTGTTTATGAAGAGAAGTTTAATGCAAATGAAGCTAACACGGCATTCTGCGAATTGACTGGAGCTCAGCAGAAGCCACTCTGAAAATCCAAACAGCTTCATGCTTAATGCTGGACCACTTACGGCATTACAACCATGAAAAGCGAATTTAGCACAGGATTTTTTTTCCCACATATGTTAGGCCTTTTTTGACGGTGCGAATTGGCCTCGGGTAGCTTGGCTTCAAAAAAGGACCATAAAAATCAGGACGTTCATTTTAAATAGAGCTGGTACGGTTTTAAGAACAAAAGGGTGTTATTTTACAGAAACCAGATGCTTCCAGCAGCGGTAACGCCAGGGCTTCGCTCACTTCCCCGGGGAGCTGCGGGCCGGCGGGGAGCGGGCGGCGGGGCCGGGGACGAGCCGGCTGCCGGCGGGGCGGAGAGGCCTGGGGCACGGCCTGCCCCGCCGCCTCCCCCCGCCCCCGGGCCGCGGCCGGCGGGGGCGGCGCCCGCCCCTCTCCGTGGTGCTGAAGCGGCTCCCGCCGCCGCCGCGCTCCGAGGGCCCGCCCCTGCCGCCCCTGCCGCCCCTGCCGCCCCTGCCGCCCCTGCCGCCGCCGCCGCCCCCGCCCCGCGGCCTCCCAGCGCCGGGCGGGCTGTGGCGGGGCGCCATGGCGGAGCGCGGGGCCTGAGGCGGAGCGCGGGGCCTGAGGCGGAGCGCGGGGCGGCATGGAGGCGGATTTCGCCGCCTTCGGGAGCCCGCTGTGCGGCGAGGTCAAGCGCTTCTGCAGGCGGGTGCGGGAGACCTACCGGGAGATCAAGGAGGACCTCACCCCCTACAAGGATGACCGTTACTACCGGTACGGGCGCGGGCGCGGCTCTCCCCCGGGGCCCTCCGCCCGGCCTCCTCCGGGAACCAGGCCGGCCCTGGGGGGCGCGGGGAGCGGGGAGACACCGGCACGAGGAAATCGGGAGCCGGGCTTCGTGCGACGACCCCCCGGCCCTGCACCCGGGAGCCGCCGCCCAGCTACAAAAGTGGCCGGGCGGGCGGGGTGGCTGCAAAGGCCGAGGTCAAAAGGGACAGATGCGCCGAGCAGGCTGCCGCCATGTCTCCGCGGTGCCTGGCCCTGCCTTCTGCTTCCGTGAGTGACCAGCGGTGGCTGGAGAGTGTTCACGTTTTGAGATTGCACAAGGCTAGGAAGGACTCCAAAGGTGTTGGAGGGCTGGGTTATAAATGAAAAGAATTTTTGGATCGGAGAAAGGGTCTGAAAAGATAGAATGAAAAGCACGAGAAACGAATGCCAGGAACTACACAGAGAATGGATGCTATCCAGCCACACAAATGCAGGTTGGGGATCAAAGAGTTGCATTAACATTTTTGTAAAAAAGGGTATGGGAATTATAATGCTTTACAGAATAACCCCTCTCAACAATGTCGTTGCCTTATACGTGTGAAAAAAGGTAAAGTAACTTGGGGTGTACGGCAGAAGCATGGTTCGTAAGATGTGAGAATTAAATCATCTACTTTAGCCCCCACTCCAGACCTTAGCTGGAGCTGTGTCCGGTTCTGGGCACCAGACTTCAGGGGTCCGCCAGTGGAAGAGAGCATAAGGACAGAGATACAGATAATCAAGAGCCTAGAAAACATAGCTGTGAGGAAAATTTGGGGTTGCTACCCCCAAAAGCAGAAACATCCAAGTTGAAGGAATAAGAGTGTCTGTAAAGAGAAACTTCATGTTTATCCTAGACAAAAGATTACAGAGTAGTATTAATTGAAGCAATAAAAGTTTGTATTAGACATTAAGAAAAAAAATCTGAATGGGAAGGATGGCAAAACACTATAGAAAGAATTATCCAGGGAGACTGTAGCATCTTCATCATTGGAGGTCTTTAAAAACTTCTGACAAATGTGTGCCAAGAAAGGAATAGATCTGGCAGATGCTCCCTGAGACTGAAGGAAAGATTAGGTACCTTGTGAGGCCTCTTCCATCTCTATTTTACTATGAATCTGAGCATAAGTACTGCTATCTCTCAGTGCACGGTGCCCCAGTTCTGCTGCTTAGATCATTTGACTTCAGTGTGCTGTGTCTGTTTTTCTCAGTGAAGGGGTAGGTGGTCCATTAGATTGAATTTGTCTCATTGTTCACAACAGCAAAGACTGCAGAGAGTCACAGAGTTTGGAAACACTCCCTGGCAGCTTGGCAGAGTTTAACCTAACCAGTCCTTCCTGTCAAAACAGTGGCTCCTTGTGCCTAAGTGTGGTGTGAGAAGCCATGGGAGGTGATAAGGAGTGATGGAAATGTACCTGTGTGCATCTGGCAGCACGATAATGAATATTGGCACTAGAATGGAGAAAGAGGGGAGACATAAGCTTTGAATTAACGAATAAGAGGTCTTGGGAGAGGCATTTGTTTAGCTTTGTTTCCAGAAGGAATTCAAGCTTTCCAAGGTAAATTGTTATTAACTCATTTTTACGACTTAAAGTGTGCGTGGAGGGACTTTCTGTATTGAAAAGAGAAGATGCCACTCCACTGAATCAAATGAGCTTGTAGAGTTAGTGCTAGATTGTCCTTTCTTCAGTGAGAGTATCCCCAAGAGGTATCAGCTGCAGGTCGCCTAGAATTAAATAGACTAATATTGGGCTCTTGGCAAGGAAATAGCATTTCGTGACTTACAAGTCATGCCAGTACTTCTTTTCAATCCCAAGATCTTAACCTAAGTGACCTGGCATAAAATAAGTTTACTGTTACTTTCACTACATACCTGCTGTTCTGGTCAGAGTTTCCCATCCTCATTATGGATGGATGTAGCAATGGCACCTGCTTTTTAGGTTCCTGGTAAGGAAGCAGGTTTCTTGATGTTAGCATGTATTCTTCTTACAGCCACCTCTCACTTATGGGCAGGAGAATTAGATACTTCGTCCTCTTCTCTCTCTCTCTATTCTATTCAGTATGTTTGGTCAAGTTATAAATAAGCACACTCAGGGATATAATGGAGCTACTTACTGCTCTGATGGCGGAAGGAATTTTGGAAATTTGACCAAGGTCAATGACAATGCTGGTGTGGCTGGTCTTCAGAGAACCTCTTTGATTTGAAGTAAAATAATCAGGTTAATAAAAGCAAATAGTATCTTACTTATACCTTACTAACAAAACGAAGAGTTGGTAAAACCATACAAAAGCATGTTTTCCTCTCACACACTGTATTCACAAATGTGAGGCTATCAACCACCGCCAGCCTTAGCTCTCCCCTCCTACTGGTTGAGCAAAGCCATTGGGCCATCAGCTGGTGGTTTCCATTGCCTCTTCGGAAACTGAGTGGTCTAGTCCATTAAGAGGCAGGAAAGGAGAGGGCAGGAGTGGAGCATGAGTTTACAAGTAATCAATATTTTCTAGAAAAAAAAAATAAAATTGGCTGCTGCAGTCTCACACCTGATTTCTGTAAGGACATCCTTCTCTGAGTGCCAACAGGAACACTCAAAACTGGAAAGGTTTGGAGCAGAGCTGATACAGAAATGGAAAAACACCAAGCAGTCCCCTTTGTGACTGGCAGAGAAACAGGTTTTCTTGACTCAGGAGTGCTTGCTGTACACTGTGAGAGTATGTGCCTCATTCTCAGTGACAGGGGATTCTGTGCAAGGGGATGACCTAGCTCAGAGATGGCTGATGAAGCCATTATCCCAAGTAACTGTGCTCTCCCTGCACAGGTGGCTGAGTCATTTCTGATTCAGCTCTCAAGCTGACCCAGTTTAGTAACAACTTTTGGTCATGGTTTCCTTTAAAGCATGGCACTCTTGAACATGTGGTTCAGCAGCTGTCTGGGAGCAGCCTGTTCTCTGGGCAGGGGTGACAGCGAGGGGTGTCAGGCTTCTCCACCATCTCAAACTACGCCATCCTCACGCCGCAGAGCCCCAGGGCACTCATCCACACTATAGAGATGAAGGGGTGTCTATGTTAGTGAGCTCGTTCTGCCCAACAGACCAGAATAGTTTCTACGTTGTGCCTCCTGGTGCATTTCCCCATGAGCAAGTGCTGGTTTACCCAGCCATCCGGGAGAGATGGAGAGAGCAGGGTTAGCCATGGCTCAGCACGCTGATTAACACCACCTCTCTGGGTTAATAGTTCTCTTGGGCAGACGTGACATTTTATGGCATGCATGTAAAAGAGACTATATGTTTATAAACTAATGGGCATGATATTAAGTAACCTCATTGGTAAATGCAATAGAAGGTTGGTCTCTGGACTTAGTATACCTGAGATTAGTCTGTGGTACACCAGGAGATGCTTGGTGCAGTAAATAAGCTCAGAGAAGGCAGAAGAAGGGAAAAGTGTTATGCTCTCCCATCAGCCCTGGGGACTGCCACAAAACATACCAGCTTTATTACAGCAACTTCAGGATTGTTCTAATTTATACCCCTGAAAAATTGCTCCAAATAAGCCACTTGAATGAACAGTTTGTTGTCTGGTGTCTCTTCCCTCCCACTCCAATATGTTCCTTCCTCCCCTGGCATGCTTCCTGGCTGGGATGGCAGGGCAGGGAGAGCTGATGGAGCGCTGGAAGCCAACAGCTCCCTCCACTGCACTAGGCAATTTTAAGTAAACTATTGGCATGAAAAGAGTTTAATACCGATGTTACTAAAACATCTACATTTTTATCTCTTTGACATGTTGTCAGTGAGATATACAAAGCTTACCAGAAGACACCAGGCCTCTCTATCTGCTGACAATTATTTCAGTGGGTGTTTCATAACTCTATCCCCTAGCTGATGTCAGAGTTCAACATGCTGAGAATATTCTGATAGCAAAGCAATCAACTAAAGTGCCTACCTGGTAGAGAGGAGAGAGCAGGAGGGTGGCCAAATTTTGATCTGACATCAGAGTCACAAAACTATAAGTAACAACTTGGTATTCTTGAAAAATCAATTTATAGGGTAATGAACACACCCCGCTGGCCAATCAGCTTGTACAGGGAAGCACAGTGTTGATGATGAATTTGGCAATAATACCCAGAGATTAAGACAAATGACCTACAGTCCACCCTGCTTTAAATAAGGGATACATTTTAAACTCCTATCATACAATAATACGACATTTTGTACAACAAAAATTTAAGACTATATGTAGGAAATAGTGAAACTTATTATTTAACTTGCAGCTTTAATTAATGCCTGATGTTACTTAGACAAGTAACAGAGGAGGTAATTATAGGTGATACCAATATTTTTAATTCCTCAGCATCTCCTATTGGTGTTTCCAGTTCATTAAAATGAAGCTAATCTTCAAAATGTGTGGGAAAGGTACATTCACAGTGGTTCTACTCCTTTGACAAAAAGACCAGAGAATAGCACACCATTTGACCCGGCAATAAAGAGAAACTGTTGATTTCTCCTTAGAGAAACTAGTGCCTGCGTGCTTCAGAGAAGAAACCTGAAGTCTGACAGAGGGCTGTTGTGATAAAGATACACTTCTTCCCACCTTAAAATCTTTCCCAAGTGCTCAAAGTGCAAATCTGCGAGAAGCCAAGGGGTCGGCAAGACCATGCTGGAGAACTGCAGTCAAATACCTGAAGTCAAATACACAGGCAGGATCTTCAGTGGGTGCTTCAAGCCACAACTGGTACCCCTTTCTTGTTCTTCCAGGGCTCACTGATGGGTCCTGGCAATTGGGGGAAGAACCTGAAGGTGTGAAGTACACAGCTAGGGCTAGAAGGCAGGAGGAGGAGACTGACACTGTGGTTTCATGATTGCTTTAAGCTGCCATAAGCTGTCTCTGCGGATGGAAGAAGCCATCCTAGCTCTCCTTTCCCTAGTCCCACATTTCTGCTCTTTTCCTTGTCTGCCCACAAATATTCCTGTAGCTGC